ATGGACTCTTCACATGGTGGAAAAAAATATCATTCTTTTGTCCACTTCTAATCAAGTCATGAAGTCTTGTTGACTTCACCGTATGAGACACAATGTTAAGTGAAAGAGAAATCACACATGGTGAATTAGCCGTTAACGAGATTCCGTCTATAATGAAACGACGTCATTTCTAAAACTCGACTTTCAATTTTGGGATTCTAGTTATGTTAGAAAAGACGTTGTTTCGTTATTTACGGGATTTCGTAACCAGCTAATTCTCTGTTAATGATTTCTCTGTGTTTGCCCATATGTCTCATACGACCGTCAAGTGAACGTGACTTCATGACTTGATAAGAAGTCAACAAAAGATTGAGAATTTTTTCAACCATGTGTAGTGTTCATACTGTAAATCAACGAAAATGTTGTCCTCATGGATTTAAATGACATTTTCTCCTTTGTTTAACTTGGGGCACATTGTGTTACTTTATCTTTGTCTAGCTCTTCATGTACCTATCATTTCGAAAAGTCGCAATTCCTTGAGAACCCTCTAAGAAGGGGGTTAGCAAGTCAAGATTCCAGTTTGTCGAATTACTGGATGGTGTCTAAACAGATTTGTCTATCTTTCATATATCTCTCTTTTTTCTATACTCATGCAAAAGTTTCCTCTAGGATTAATCTTAGTGATATCTTTTACAATGCCTTGTGATGCAATCAATTTAATAGATCTCTTGAGCTTAGAGGTTTAATTTATAGAGCAACCTTTCTTTAATCCTCACATGAATTAAACAAAAACTGAAAAGAAAAAAAAAAGAATCTATCAAACTTATCAAATATGATAACAGGAAAAAACGTTACTCAGATGTTTCGTAGGAGAAGCTTTTTTGCATGTAGAGAAACAAAACAACTAAAACTTAGCACACATCAATCTGGACTCCTCCTAGTTACCCCTCGTAAGAATGTTCTGAAAGCGTTGAGTCTTTTAAAAATGATATTTGAATAGCTAAACAAATATTAGGTGGCATATAATGAGCCACGATTCAATCAAATTGTTATAGACAGACTATTTATTAGAGACATGAAAGAAGTTAATGGTGAAAAGAGAGTTGGTGTAGTATCTTGAATTTAAATACAAAGATTCTCCATCTTTGTTCAACAAAAAAAGAAAAAAAAAAAAGAAAAAAAAAGATTCTCCAATCTTTATATTAGGCTATATTCAATCCTCAGACTAGTTAAAGATTGCTTTCACAATGTGGAAACTACCAAACAAAAGATGATCTATAGTTTTAAACACCATATCATCGTTACATTGGTTTCATGTGGTTTCATTCAATCGTCTTGGTATATAGTTTTGGAGACCAACGCCCAAAAAAAGTGAACACGCATCATGTCGCCTAGATGGACAACATGCAGTTTGAGATATCTCCAACATGTTCTGGTTTCCTAAGTTCTAAACTCTAAGTTAGGTAAACTACACTAATATGAATTTGTGGAGGTACGACAATACACTAATTCATTTTGATGGGAGGTGTTCACTTTCTTTCTTTCTCTTACAATCTCCTTTGTTTCAGCCAAAGATAAGTCCATATAAGATGGGGATATATGGACGTGGACAAACAGATCAAGAAGAATAGAGAGTTTCTCACTTTATCTCTTGACCAAACATCTGGGGTTCTAACAATTTCTTTTGATGGACAAAATCATGTTATAAACTTTTTTTTTTGTCCACGAAACAAGTTATAATTCATTAACTTTGCTTGACAAAAATCCACAATACTTCAAACTTAAACGTAACTACAAATCAGAATGAATATATGGAGTCGAACTTTCAAGCTTGTTGGATATTTTTTGTGAAGCTTTTTTAGAGAAGACTCCCTCTCTTCTCTGACGACATGTCCAAAAAAATTTCACTCACAGACAAAGGGCAAAAGAGCCATCAACAGTGATGTTTCTGTATACTGTTATACCTTTCACTATTCTAATGCCTAAATCCGAACCTCACTCCTCAAAAGTGCCTGTTTTATTAATTTTACCTTCAAATTAATATAATAATGTTTTTGGTGTTTGACTAATCTTTTAATATATCTAGGATTTATTTTGTCCTGAAAATCATGCCTAAGGTATAAACATCTTTACATGATGCGGTCTTTTGAAATGATAAAAAAATTTCCAGAATTCTATTGATTACATCATAATTTGTTTTTTCAAGTTTTCTTTCAAATATTTATTTATCGTAACAGGAAAATGTTTTTTTTTTTCGTCACAGGAAAAAAAGATAAATGTTTTACATGTATTTTTTTTTGGTAAAGATGTTTTACATGTATTCACACATCACATATATAAAAATATATAGATATAGACATAGACACATTCTTTTGAATTTTAAAAAAAAAAAGAAGATATGTTTCTATAGTGAAAAACAAAATATTCATGAATTCACAGTCAACATTTAAAAAAAAAAACAAAGTTTTGGTAGAATATTATGTCAATAGGGAAAGAAATCATTTTAATCTTCATTTTGTTGACTGTAAGAGGGAAATAAATCTAAATTGTTCAAAAAAAAAGTTAATAGCAAATTAATATTTTTTAGGGTTTTGAAATCTACAAAAACAGTTCCCTAAATTGATATGTCCCTAATCAATCTTTTGTGCCTCTCAAATCAAAAGCCATATTCTCTTTCTTTTGTGTCACTCATCTTTACAAAAGAATCCATCTCCTTCTTAGCTTACATATTGAGTGGATGACATCTCTTATCGACTCTAACGCCTTCCACCTAAGAATGGTCACAAAGCTCATAAGTCTTTAGTCTCCGACCTACACATCATGCCTAAAGGGGTTGTGATTGGGCTGCGTAGGATGGGATATATATAGGATAAAGTGTAAAAAGGTCATAAGACATTTGAGGTTGTGTTTGTGGCTGATTTTGTAGATCGATGGCCGCCAAGGTATATTTGATATCTTTCTCAATATCTTTTCCTATTGCGTTTATGATTAAAGAACTTATTTGAGTAGATCTTGGTTCATCAAATGCAACAGGCAAAAGTATCCTTGTCATGTGATGAAAACCAATGATTGGATGAACAACTATATTGGTCTTCCGCCAAAGAATGATCACAAAGCTCATAAGTCTTTCGTCTCCGACGCTACGCATCATGCATCTAAAGCGATGGCCAAGGTATGTTTTATATCTTTCTCAACATTTTCTCATATTGCGTTTATGATATAAAGAACATGCTTGAGTAGATCTGGGTAGCTAGTTAGATTTGATTGTTGATTGAAGTATGATTTCTATTTTTCTTCATTCATTACAATATATATAAAAAAAATTGGTCTTATATATTTTCAAAACTAATATTTTTGGGTGAAACATCACCATGAAATTTACCCTCAAATGAAATAATAACATTTTAAAAATACGGATTATTACTTAGGGATATTATGTATATGTTTACGATTTATAGGTTTGAAATAAATATATAGAATTTCCTATTAATTATTGTAGTACATAAAATATATAGAAGACAAGATCTCTTGACACTTGATTAAATGCATGCCTACATAAAGATATATTAATTTATCTCTCTTAAGTCAAATTTGTTTGATCATAGTTTTCTATGTATAATTGTTTGTTTAACGGGAAAAATATCATTTAATTCGTGAAGTTTACATTTTGTTGATTTAAAGCATGGACTCTTCACATGGTGGAAAAAAATTATCATTCTTTTGTCCACTTCTAATCAAGTCATGAAGTCTTGTTGACTTCACCGTATAAGACACAATGTTAAGTGAAAGAGAAATCACACATGGTGAATTAGCCGTTAACGAGATTCCGTCTATAATGAAACGACGTCATTTCTAAAACTCGACTTTCAATTTTTGGATTTTAGTTATGTTAGAAAAGACGTTGTTTCCTTATTTACGGGATCTCGTAACCGGCTCATTCTCTGTGAATGATTTCTCTGTTTGCCCATATGTCTCATACGACCGTCAAGTGAACGTGACTTCATGACTTAATAAGAAGTCAACAAAAGATTGAGAATTTTTTCAACCATGTGTAGTGTTAATACTGTAAATCAACAAAATGTCGTCCTCATGGTTTAAATGACATTTTCTCCTTTGTTTAACTTGGGGCACATTGTGTTACCTTATCTTTGGCTAGCTCTTCATGTACCTATCATTTCGAAAAGTCGCAATTCCTTGAGAACCCTCTAAGAAGAGGGTTAGCAAGTCAAGATTCCAGTTTGTCGAATTACTGGAAGGTGTCTAAACAGATTTGTCTATCTTTCATATCTCTCTTTATTTCTACACATGCAAAAGTTTCCTCTAGGATTAATCTTAGTGATGTATTTTACAATGCCTTGTGATGCAATGAATTTAATAGATCTCTTGAGCTTAGAGGTTTAAATTTATAGAGCAACCTTTCTTTAACCCTGACATGAATTAAACAAAAATTGAAAAAAAAAAAAAGAATCTATCAAACTCATCAAATATGATAACTAGAAAAAACGATACTCAGATGTTTCGTAGGAAGAAGATTTTTTGCATCTAGAGAAACAAAACTTAGCACACAACAAGATGGGTATCGCATTCGTGTCAAGTTTTTGTACGACAAGGACAATCAAACCGTGGTTGGAGAGGATCATGAGAGCAACACATTACTTAGAGTATATGAGGTGATGATTATTTCAATCTTCTTGTTAATTATGTTCTTGTTCAACTTATTTACTTGGAATTTTCTTGTTTTTGTAGTTTGAGTTGCAGCATCCGGGTGAATACTTGATATCTGTCGAGGGTGGTTATGATGATGTCGTAGATGGAAATAAATCCAAATTTATACGCATGCTTAGGTTCAAGACAAATATACGAACCTCTCAACTCTTTGGACTCGAGACAAAGCCAAGCTTCAAACTCGAGAAGGAACGTCACAAGTTTATCGAGTTCCATGGAACAATAGGTAATATGCTTAAAAAAATTGGAGTCCATGTCCATTACATAATGCTTATCTCCATATAAAATTATGACCTCGAATGAAACATTTCCGGGCAAGATTGATCATGTTAGATAATGATCTCTGATAGGTCTCAATTAAGAGCTTATAAGAACAATAGACTTTAAACATTTTTCTCCATATATTTCATTATAAGATGTTGTGAGTATATATACATATTAAGGGCCAGCTATAATCCTAGAATATAGGAGATAGATATGAATCGAAGATTTAATATAATCAACCCAAAACCACTAACAACAATAAGATCACAAATAATATTTTCATCGTTTCACACCTTATCTTAGTTGATACTGGTATATCTCGGTTATGTTCTCATCAATCTCTTATCCGATTATGTACTCTACTACGTAACGGAACTCCGAAAAGGTGATGAGGAGTTTAGTATCGAATGCTTATAGTAAGATTTTGTTTGAATCTATCTATAAGAAGTAACCCTTTGATTTTCGCATGAAAAGTTTCTGGTTAATGGAAGACTCTAAGAAATTATCATCATCAATTAGAAGAATGTATGCTACAACTTAAGCCAGTGTTTGTATGAATTATGCGACGTGAGCTTGGTAATGGTCAACTTGCATCTTTCAGGTCCCTCATCCCCCTCCTAGGGGAAGGTGGCTCCAAAAAACTAAGGATTCTAGACCAACATTACAGGGGTATCTCTAAGATATAGAGATACCCCATTAATGTTGGTCATGATATTGATGCTACCAAATTTGGTCTTTCTTCGTCATCTCAAACCCTCTTAGCTCCCTAGGTGCAGCTGCGGCCTGAATCTATTCTCACTAAGCTCATCTTTCAAGCCACTATATATACTATCTGGAAGGAACACCAACTCCCGCATCTTCTTCTTGGACTGAAGTACTAATTCCATGCCATCTGTGAAACAATTGATCATTCTCTCCATGATTTTCTGTTTTGGTTTTGTGTAAATTTTGTTTAACTTCTTCTGTCTATCGTCATTCCGGTTCGGTTATTTAATATGTTGTATGCAAATAAATAAATAAAATGGTGTAAAATTTAACATTTACACCCAAAAAATAAGAGTAACCCTTTAATTACTAGTTTGAAGATTATGTGGTCTCAGTTTTCAAGTTAATATAATAAGTTTTTTGGTGTTTGACTAATCTTTTAATATATCTAGGATTTATTTTGTCCTCAAAATCATGCCTATGTTATAGACATCTTTACATGATGCGGTCTTTAATTTTGTTGTTCTGATACATTTTGAAATGATAAAAAAATTCCGGAATTCTATTGATTACATCATAATTTGTTTTTTCAAGTTTTCTTTCAAATATTTATTTATCTTAACAGGAAAATGTTTTACATGTATTTTTTTTGGTAAAGATGTTTTACATGTATTCACACATTATTTATATTAAGATATATAGATATAGACATATACACATTCTTTTGAATTCAAAAAAAAAAACAAGATATGTTTCTATAGTAAAAAAAACAAAATATTCATGAATTAACAGTCAACATTTTTAAAAAAAAAAATTGGTAGAATATTATGTCAATAGGGAAAGAAATCATTTTAATCTTCATTTTGTTGACTGTAAGAGGGAAATAAATCTAAATTTTTCAAAAAAAAAAGTTAATAGCAAATTAATTTTTTTTAGGGTTTTGAAATCTACAAAAACAGTTCCCTATATTTATATGTCCCTAACCAATCCTTTGTGCCTCTCAAATCAAAATCCATATTCTCTTTCTTTTGTGTCACTCATCTTTACAAAAGAATCCATCTCCTTCTTAGCTTAGATATTGAGTGGATGACATCTCTTATCGACTCTAACGCCTTCCACCTAAGAATGGTCACAAAGCTCATAAGTCTTTAGTCTCCGACCTACACATCATGCCTAGATCGATGGCCGCCAAGGTACATTTGATATCTTTCTCAACATCTTTTCTTATTGCGTTTATGATTAAAGAACTTATTTGAGTAGATCTTGATTCATCAAATGCAACAGGCAAAAGTATCCTTGTCATGTGATGAATGAACAACTCTATTGGTCTTCCGCCAAAGAATGATCACAAAGCTCATAAGTCTTTCGTCTCCGACGCTACGCATCATGCCTGTAAAGCGATGGCCAAGGTATGTTTTATATCTTTCTCAACATTTTCTCATATTGCGTTTATGATATAAAGAACATGCTTGAGTATATCTGGGTAGCTAGTTAGATTTGATTGTTGATTGAAGTATGATTTCTAATAAAATTGGTCTTATATATTTTCAAAACTAATATTTTCGGGTGAAATAATACATGAAATTTACCCTCAAATGAAATAATAACATTTTAAAAATACGGATTATTTCTTAGGGATATATTACGTATATGTTTGATGATGTTGTTATACTGCATTGATGTGATTTTATTTCTCAAATAACTATCGTGTTTAGTAAGAATCAATATTAACGGTATTTCACGCGAAAAATAGTAGAACAAATTTATGATTTATAGGTTTGAAATAAATATATAGAATTTCCTATTAATTATTGTAGTACATAAAATATATAGAAGACAAGATCTCTTGACACTTGATTAAATGCATGCCTACATAAAGATATATTAATTTATCTCTCTTAAGTCAAATTTGTTTGATCATAGTTTTCTATGTATAATTGTTTGTTTAACGGGAAAAATATCATTTAATTCATGAAGTTTACATTTTGTTGATTTAAAGCATGGACTCTTCACATGGTGGAAAAAAATTATCATTCTTTTGTCCACTTCTAATCAAGTCATGAAGTCTTATTGACTTCACCGTATGAGACACAATGTTAAGTGAAAGAGAAATCACACATGGTGAATTAGCCGTTAACGAGATTCCGTCTTTAATGAAACGACGTCATTTCTAAAACTCGACTTTCAATTTTGGAATTTTAGTTATGTTTGAAAAGACGTTGTTTCGTTATTTACGGGATCTCGTAACCGGCTAATTCTCTGTGAATGATTTCTCTGTTTGCCCATATGTCTCATACGACCGTCAAGTGAACGTGACTTCATGACTTATTTAGAAGTCAACAAAAGATTGAGAATTTTTTCAACCATGTGTAGTGTTCATACTGTTAATCAACGAAAATGTTGTCCTCATGGATTTAAATGACATTTTCTCCTTTGTTTAACTTGGGGCACATTGTGTTACCTTATCTTTGTCTAGCTCTTCATGTACCTATCATTTCATGTAGAGAAACAAAACAACTAAAACTTAGCACACAACAAGATGGGTATCGCATTCGTGTCAAGTTTTTGTACGACAAGGCCAATCAAACCGTGGTTGGAGAGGATCATGGGAGCAACACATTACTTAGAGTTGATGAGGTGATGATTACTTCAATCTTCTTATTAATTATGCTCTTGATCAACTTATTTACTTGGAATTTTCTTGTTATCTGTCGAGGGTGGTTATGATGATGTCGTAGATGGAAATAAATCCAAATTTATACGCATGCTTAGGTTCAAGACAAATATACGAACCTCTCAACTCTTTGGACTCGAGACAAAGCCAAGCTTCAAACTCGAGAAGGAACGTTACAAGTTTGTCGAGTTCCATGGAACAATAGGTAAGATGCTTGGAGTCCATGTCCTTCCATTACATAATGATTATCTCCATATAAAATTATGAGTCCAAAATGAAATATTATTGAGCAAGTTTGATCATGTTCTATAATGATCTCCTATTGATCCTGTACTCTACTACTTATTATTTCCAACGTTTTATGGCTTGTATTCTCCATTTTCATGTATTAAGCTTGAGTTTGTTTTAAAATTTATTCAATTGTTTAGGCCTTAGGGAACTAGATTTGAATCCAGCAAGCAAATATAGAGTTTATGAGAGAATGTGATGTTTATTATTAGTGACTGTCGAGGTATATATACAACACTAAGACTTGGGGACTAGGTCTATAACATAAATATTTGTTGTACTGATAACATTCAACTGCTTGGTCTAGATTGATCGAGTATTCTAAACACTCGCAAAACACTTTTGACACTAATAAGGGATTAAAAACAGAGCAAAAATGAGAAGGAGGCGTGAGAACACAATCTCGGAATGATGATTCATTTGAGATGTTGTTCCAATCACTTGTTACCAACAATAAAGTATGAGAACGTTAATCAAATAGCATTAAAATTAATTACATGTTTTTCTTTTTCCTTTTTGTCTGCTAAGTTCATTGAACTCTTAAGTCATAACAGAATATGAATATGTGAATTACATAAATAAATACAAGTGCTGTAAAAATAAAACGCTAAATACAATGATGCATTGACCAAACCCATAAATATAATGCAAGTGTGCTTCAAATCATATTATAACATCGACTTGCGAAGTTCTGGTCATTCTTTACATTAATAAAAGACCCAAAACTATTTTTTTTTGTTAATAATGAAAGACTCAAAACTTTTTGTATAGAAGAAAACTTTTCATCCATGAGCTTTTTTTATTACCTCTACAGCATTGTTCTCTCCTTCATCAAGATCATCTTTCTCTCTTCGATATGGTCAAGAAGCTGGAAGCGCAAGGGAAAAAGAATCCTGAAAGCCAGTTTAAGTGGGATGATGGATCCAACCATGACAACGTAACAAAAATATACGTAAGAGGTGACCCTGGAGGCATAAGGTACATCAGGTTCGACTATACCAAGACTGCACAAGTGATTTATAAATCATTCCATGGTTTCACAAATTACGGCCCAACCCAAACGGTATATAACTTGGAAAACTCTTCTTTATGTGACATTTCATTTTGTTTACTGGACTGTGTGGTCTGAATTTGTTTCACCATATTGTATAGTTTGAGATTGACCATCAAAATGATGAACAACTTGAATCTGTTGAGGGTTATTACGAACCACAGTCGAATGCGATTGTAGGACTTCAATTCAAAACCAACTTGAGGGTTTCTGAGCTGATAGGTTATCCAAAAGGAAATAATACAAAGTTCTCACTAGCTGTGGAGGGAATGAAGATCATAGGCTTTCACGGATCTTCGCAAA